TATATATATATATATATATATATATATATATATGTATGTAAAATTCTATATCTAGGTTGTGTATAAATATCAATGTTAATTTGGGGACATGATAGAGAGTAGTATGTAATACCCCGAACTTCACGTTCTACATTTGGCCAATATGATTCATGCATTCCATGCTAATTACATTGTCATTTGCATCAACTTCCTAATTACTTTCTCTTAAAAACGTGTGTTTGATCATCGAGGCTTTAAAATCTTTATATAGTGATGATCTTTGACTCCTCGACCTAAGTAGTTAATTTCACATTGAGCTATGATAGAAAATTAGGGTAACTAGATGTTGAAGATTAGCTTGGTAAGTAATGGAAATCGAAAAGGTCGGAAATTAGTATCAACAGAAGTTCAAGCTTTCTATTCGGTTGTTCGAGGTCACGTTAAACCCTAGATAGGTAATTGACATATTTGGGACATGAGACATAAAAGGACATGATCATGATGCGATAATAAATGTCTCATATGATGTTATAAATATTAAGGTGCGAATTGTGGAAATTAATCGAGAATTGGGTATCAATCGGGTAAGTAATTAAATGAACGGTTGAGGAATTAGTTCTATAAGATACTTTGGGATCTTAGGACAAGTGAAATGGATTGTAAACACGTCAAAATAAGCCAAGGATACTTGGTTTGTGCCTGCAAAGATAGATATAAAATCAGATTTTTGCTACAATTGACCAGCTCATGCCTAATACCTCGCGCTTGGGATGTTTGTCATTTTAGCACTCAATTCCTTCAACCTTAAGGCATCAATCTCGTGTATTCTCCCTAAAAACTTAATATAGGATAGATATATATATCTTAAAAGTCACAAATGAATCCAAATATAATGGTTGAAAGTCAAGTATTGCTGCCATGAAGACACCTCATGCTAAGACACCTCATGCTTGGGGTATTTTGACATTTTAACACTTAATTTCTTTGACCTTAAGGCATGATCTCGTGTATGAGGGATATATATATCTTATAAGGCTTAAAAAAATCCAAATATAGTGGTAGAAAGGTCAAATATTGCAGCAAGAAGCCACCACCTGCTTAGTGACTCACCTTGATGGCTTGATGTGGCTTCAGCCCATAAATTCCTTAATCCTTAAGCAATAAGCACGACCTTAACTATTTAAAGACCAATTATCTACCTCTTAGATAATATTTTAACTCAATTATCTCCTATCTAAGTGATTCCAAGTGAAAAAGAGAGTGAAAGAACCAAAGAGAAATAGAAACAGCAAGCTCGAATTTGTGGACAGCCAAGTTACTTCACAGTTTTGAGGTTTGTATCCATTATTTCTTGAGGGGTTTATAAGTTCTTGAACATATGAACTTGATTTTGATTAGGTTAGAGTGTTTTTAATGATTTCATGATGCCAAAAATGGGGGTAATTAGTTACAAGAATTTGAAAGAAAGCAATCTGTGCAGTGATGTGGAATTGCTAGATTTATGTGGTTTAAACTTTGATTTTGGATAATACTTAAGATATAAATTATATCTATGTAAATGAATTCTTTTACATGATAGTTATAAGGATATAAATGGCCTTCTAATAGCCTGAAATCCGATTGGTAACATGCTAACAAAATAGAAACCAAAAACTGTCACAATGGAAAACTGTCTGATTTTAGTGTTGTGGAAATGGACAATTTTGAGTCCGAGAACACTTTACTTGTCACGACTTTAGAGTATGATTACCTTCATATACATGTTATAGAAACGTGATAAAAATTTCGGAGTCATTGGATATAGATAAGGGGGTGAAAAGGGATTGGAAAAATAATTGGACGGTAAGGGAAATCTGAAAACAGATTCTGTCCAATTTTGTGCTTAATATAATTTCAGCCTTTACGTGTACATTAATTATCTCTTGGGCCTAGAAAATAGATTCTAAGGGTACTAGGTTGTCAACAACAATTGGAAGATGTTGACGTTCATAATTTGACTCGAGAAATAGCGAGATTTATGGGATAAGTTTGTAATGTCATCGGTAACTTGAATTGATGATTCCGTCTAAATTATTTTGGTGAGAATGGATGTATTTTGGGATTTTGTGCACTAAGGTTATTAAATTGAGGATTCTCTTTAATATTAAATGGTAATACAGGTGATTTTCCAACTTCGAGTGAAAAAAGATATTGATCTAATCTCCATAGGAGCTTGTACACACAAAGGTGAAAGGTAAGTGAAAATCCATTTGCAACTATGATGCAAGAACCTAGTCTATGTGACATAGTAATGTTGAAATATCTACATAAATTCGATAAGAGGCTTATAACACATCATATGGTGGTTACGATCATTGAGTATGAGGTTGCAAAACCTATTGATATCGATTTTCATTAAATATATCATTTACAAGCATTTTCATTTGCATGCACGACATGTGGCATTGTTGAAAATCCTGCATGTAAAATATGATTTCAAAGTGAGTTTCATTATGAATGTTTGATTGACTACTACTAGGGCACCAAGGCATGTAAGGCATGCTTATGTGATATGTTTGGCATTGCGGGTGTTACTTCCTGGGTGATTGCAAAGGTAGACAGGGGATGGGCCTTTGGTGATCACGAGAGGACGGACCACTCGACTGTGCCCTTGTAATATTATGATTATTAGCGCTGCCGGGTGGGAGACTTCTTAGGTGATCATAGGGGTAGTCAGGGGACGGGCCTTTAGTGGTCACGAGAGGATGGTCCACTCGTTGGTGTCGATTTCATATTGGCCATTTGATTATTGATATTGATATTATGTAGAGCTCTATCCGGTGCATAGTAGGTGGGTCAAGGGCCCAATGAAATGAAAAATTTCAAGTGAAAAGATTTCTAGTTGACTTTGACGAATATTGAAATATGATACTTTTTATCGTGATATTTAAATTAAATGGCATGATGTCATATGTCGTTATTACTCATGTTCTGGACATGCATGATTTTGCTCACTAAACATTGGCTTATGTTTTTCTTGCATTGTAGGTGAGCATTGAACTACATAAAGAGCATGGCTAGCTGTAGAGCTCCGACAGGATTCCAGAGTTCGATGTACATGGATGATGACCTGTAAGGTTATTTTGTAGGTTGCCATCTGTTGGGTTATATTTTGGAATCCTATATAGTGTACTTTTGAAATGCCCTGTAGACATGTTTATAAGCTCAGAATATATATGTTGGATTATGGCGATATGATTTTTGGGTTTCGATATGTTATATGATCGTGTCACAAGTGATTAGAAGTCAATAAACTCAAAAAAATATATATATGTAAAATTCTATAACTAGGTTGTGTATAGATGTCAATGTTAATTTAGGGGCATGACAGAGAGTGGTATCAGAGTGAGGTTATAAATTTGTAGACTGTCCATGTACATGATCTTGGAATATAAAAGAGCACAGCTATGCCGGTAGGTTTTATTTGTTGCATTATTTTTGCATATTTCATGAATGATATTAGGCAACCTTTATTTGCAGCCATGGTGAGAACCAGAGATGCTAGTAGTAGTAGAGCTAGAACTCTAGGGCAAGAGGCATCTGTTCAAGATGACAGTCGGGATGTTGTTATTGATAGGCTTACAGAATTAGTTGAGCGCCAATCTCAATAAATTCAACAATTAATACAACAAAGAGAAAGGGGAGAACAACAAAGGGCGGAATTCTTACAACCACAACAAAGGGTTGAATATATTGAGACAGTTGACGAAAGATTTAGAAAACTAAACCCTCCAATATTTGAGGATGCATTAGATCCAACTGCAGCAGAGGATTGGTTGAGAACTTTGGAGAATATGTTCAGGTATACGAGAGTTTCAGAAGTAGAAAAGGTGGTTTGTGCATCCTTTATGCTACGAGATAGTGCTGGACATTGGTGGGATACGATGAGTAGCATTGAAGATGTAAATGCCATGACTTGGGAGAGATTTAAAGAGTTATCTTGTAATAAATATTTTATAGCTCCTATTCAAGCCAGGAAGATGAATGAATTTATACAGTTAAGACAAGGAGGGATGACAGTGGGAGAGTATATTCGTAAGTTTGAACAACTATCTAGGTTTGCTACCCACATGGTTAATATTGAGGTACTAAAGGTAGAAAGATTTCATGAGGGGCTAAGACCAGAACTATATAGAGATGTAAGCATGGCAGGAATCCAAGATGTTTCATATTCTCAAATTGCGGAGAGAGCCTTAGTTGCAGAATAAGCCGAACAAAGGATTAGTCCTCTCCCACTGTCATCCCTCGTCTTAACTGTATAAATTCATTCATCTTCATGGCTTGAATAGGAGCTGTAAGATATTTATTACGAAATAACCCTTTAAATCTCTGCCAAGTCATGGCATTTACATCTTCAATGCTACTCATCATACCCCACCAATGTCCAGCACTACCTCATAGCATAAAGGATGCACAAACCACCTTTTCTACTTCTGAAACTCTAGTATACCTGAACATATTCTCTAAAGTTTTCAACCAATCCTCTGCTGCAGTTGGATCTAATGCATCCTCAAATATTGGAGGGTTTAGTTTTCTAAACCTTTTTCCAACTGCCTCAATATGTTCAGCCCTTTGTTGTGGTTGTAAGAATTCCACCCTTTGTTGTTCTCCCCTTTCTCTTTGTTGTATTAATTGTTGAATTTGTTGTACGCTCAGCTAATTCTATAAGCCTATCAATAACAACATCCTGACCGTCATCTTGAATAGATGCCTCTTGCCTTGGAGTTCTAGCTCTACTACTACTAGCATCTCTGGTTCTCACCATGGCTGCAAATAAAGGTCGGCCAATATCATTCATGAAATATGCAAAAATAATGCAACAAATAAAACTTACTAGAATAGTTGTGCTCTTTCATATTCCAAGATCATGTACATGGACAATCTACAGAATTATAACCTCGCTTTGATACCATTCTCTGTCACGCCCCCAAATTAACATTGATATCTATACACAACCTAGATATAGAATTTTACATATATTTTTTTTTGAGTTTGTTAACTTCTAATCACCTGTGACACGATCATATAACATATCAAAACCCAAAATCATATTGCCATAATCCAACATATATATTCTGAGCTTATAAACATGTCTACAGGCCATTTCAAAAGTACATTATATAGAATTCCAAAAAAAAAAACCCAACAGATGGCAGCCTACAAAATAACCCTACAGGTCATCATCCACGTACACCGAACTCTGGAATCCTGTAAGAGCTCCACAGCTAGCCATGCTCTCTATGTAGTTCCATGCTCACCTACAATGTAAGAACTACATAAGTCAATGCTCAGTAAGCAAAATCATGTAAGTCCTGAACATGAGTAATAACGAAATATAAGACCATGCCATTTACTTTAAATATCACGATAAAAATATCATGTTTCAATATTCCTCAAAGTCGACTAGAAATCATTTCACTTGAAATCTTTCATTTCATTGGGCCCTTGACCCACCTACTATGCACCTGATAGAGCTCTGCATAATATCAATATCAATAATGAAATGGCAAATATGAAATTGACATTGACGAGTGGACCATCCTCTCGTGACCATTAGAGGCCCATCCCCTGACTACCTCTATGATCACCTAAGAAGTCTCCCACCCGGCAGCGCCAATAATCATAATATCACAAGAGTACAATCGAGTGGTCCACCCTCCCGTGATCACCAAAAGCCCATCCCCTGTCTACCTTTGCAATCACCTAGGAAGTAACACCCGCAATGCCAAACATATCACATAAGCATGTCTCACATGCCTTGGTGCCTTAGTAGTGGTCAATAAAACATTTATAATGAAACTCACTTTGAAATCATGTTTTGCATGCCAGATTTTCAACCATGTCACATGTTGTGCATGCATATGAAAATGCTCATAAATGACATATTTAATGGAAATCGATGTCAATAGGTTACGCAACACCATACTCAATGATCGTAACCACCATATGATGTGTTATAAGCCTCTTATCAAAGTTATGTAGATATTTCAACATTACTATGTGTCACATATACTAGGTTCTTGCATCGTAGTTGCAAATGAATTTTCACTTACCTTTCACCTTTGTGTGTGCAAGCTTCTATGGAGATTAGGTCAATATCCTTTTTCACTCGAAGTCGGAAAATCACCTGTATTACCATTTAATATTAAAAAGAATCCTCAATTTAATAACCTTAACGCACAAAATCCCAAAATACATCCATTCTCACCAAAATAATTTAGACGGAATCATCATTTCAAGTTACCGATGGCATTACAAACTTATCCCATAAATCTCGCTATTTGTCGAGTCAAATTATGAACGTCAACATCATCCAATTGTTGTTGACAACCTAGTACCCTTAGAATCTATTTTCTAGGCCCAAGAGATGATTAATGTACATGTAAAGGCTGAAATCATATTAAGCACAAAATTGGACAGAATCTGTTTTCAGACTTCCCTTACCGTCCAATTATTTTTCCAATCCCTTTTCACCCCCTTATCTATATCCAATGACTCCAAATTTTTACCACATTTCTATAACATGTATATGAAGGTAATAATGCTCTAAAGTTGTGACAGGTAAAGTGTTCTCAGCCTCAAAATATTCCATTTTCATAACACTAAAATCAGACAGTTTTCCATTATGACAGTTTTCGGTTTCTATTTTATTAGCATGTTACCAATCGGATTTCAGGCTATTAGAAGGCCATTTATATCCTTATAAATATCATTTAAAAACATTCATTTACATAGATACAAGTTATATCTCAAGTATTATCCAAAATCAAAGTTTAAACTATCCAAATTCATCAATCAACACATCTCTATTTCTGTTGGTTTCTTGCAGGTTCTTGTACTTGATTACCCCTCTTTTTGCCATCATAAAATCATCAAAAACCCTTCTAATTAACCTCAAGTAAGTTTAGAGTTTTAGCATACTGTAAAACACCCAAAAGGAGTAAAGAAAAACTTCAAAACCATGACTTTAACTAACCTTTACAAACTGCAATCCCAGCTTCTTACTTTTCTCTCTTTGCTTCCTTTGCTCTCCCTTTCACTTGGTGATATATTTGGTGGTTTAAATGTCTTATCCAAGAGATGTATAAGTAGCCTCAAGTGTTGGAGTCGTGAGTCATGCTTAAGGATGAAGGAAAGTGTAATTAAAAGACAAGTATCATCAAAGCATGAGCTGTCCAAGCTGGAGGTGGATTCATGCGGCAAACTTTGACCTTTCCCTTACCTTATATGGAGGCATATGTGTCTTATAAGATGTATATCTATCCAGTATAAAGTGATAATGATTTAGGAGGCGTACTGGAAGTCTTAAGGCTGAAGGAATTAAATGTTAGATTGACAAGTTTTCACAAGGTAAGTAGGAGGTGTCTCCGTTGCAGCAACATTTGACTTTCTTACTATTATCTTTGGATCCATTTATGATATAAAATATATATATTCGTCCTATATTCATTTCTTAGGGAGTATGACACGAAATTGATGCCTTAAGATTGAAGGAATCGAGTGCTTAAATGATAAACATCCCAAGCGCGAGGTGTTCAAGCATGAGGTGTCACTTGTAGCAGAAATCTGATTTTATATCTATCTTTGCAGGCACAAACCAAGTATCCTCAGCTTATTTTGACGTGTTTACAATCAATTTCACTTGTCCTAAGATCCCAAAGTATTTTATAGAACTAATTCCTTAGCTGTTCATTTAATTACTTACCCGATTGATACCTGATTCTCGGTTAATTTCCACAATTTGCACCTCAATATTTATAACGTCATATGAGACATATATTATCATGTCATGATCATGTCCCTTTATGTCTCATGTCCCAAATATGTCAATTACCTATCTAGGGTTTAACGTGGTCGGAAATTAGTATCGACAAAAGTCCAAGCTTTCTATTCGGTTGTTCGAGGTCACGTTAAACCCTAGATAGGTAATTGACATATTTGAGACATGAGACATAAAGGAACATGATCATGACACGATAATATATGTCTCATATGACGTTATAAATATTGAGATGCAAATTGTGGAAATTAACCGAGAATCGGGTATCAATCGGGTAAGTAATTAAATGAACAGCTGAGGAATTAGTTCTATAAAATACTTTGGGATCTTAGGACAAGTGGAATGGATTGTAAACATGTTAAAATAAGCCAAGGATACTTGGTTTGTGCCTACAAAGATAGATATAAAATCAGATTTCTGCTACAAGTGACCACCTCATGCTTGAACACCTCGCGCTTGGGATGTTTGTCATTTTAGCACTCAATTCCTTCAACCTTAAGGCATCAATCTCGTATCTACTTCCTAAGAACTTAATATAGGATGGATATAAATCTTAAAAGTCACAAATGCATCCAAATATAATGGTTGAAAGTCAAGTATGGCTGCAATGAAGACACATCGTGCTTGGACACCTCATGCTTGGGATAGTTGTCATGTTAACGCCAAATTCCTTTGGGCTTAAGGCATCAATTTCGTGTCATACTCCCTAAGAACTGAATATAGGACGAATATATATATTTTATATCATAAATGGATCCAAAGATAATAGTAAGAAAGTCAAATGTTGCTGCAACAGAGACACCTCCTACTTACCTTGTGAAAACTTGTCAATCTAACATTTAATTCCTTCAGCCTTAAGACTTCCAGCACGTCTCCTAAATCATTATCACTTTATATTGGATAGATATACATCTTATAAGACACATATGCCTCCATATAAGGTAAGGTAAAGGTCAAAGTTTGCTGCATGAATCCACCTCCAGCTTGGACAGCTCATGCTTTGATGATACTTGTCTTTTAATTACACTTTCCTTCATCCTTAAGCATGATTCACGACTCCAACCCTTGAGGCTACTTATACATCTCTTGGATAAGACATTTAAACCTCCAAATATATCCCCAAGTGAAAGGGAGAGTGAAGGAAGCAAAAAGAGATAGAAAAGTAAGAAGCTGGGATTGCAGTTTGTAAAGGTTAGTTAAAGTCACGGTTTTGAAGTTTTCTTTAGTCCTTTGGGTGTTTTATAGTATGCTAAAACTATAAACTTACTTGAGGTTAATTATAAGGGTTGTTTATGATTTTATGATGGCAAAAAGAGGGGTAATCAAGTACAAGAACCTGAAAGAAACCAACAGGAATAGAGATGTGTTGATTGATGAATTTGGATGGTTTAAACTTTGATTTTGGATAATACTTGAGATATAACTTGTATCTATGTAAATGAATGTTTTTAGATGATAGTTATAAGGATATAAATGGCCTTCTAATAGCCTGAAATCCGATTGGTAACATGCTAATAAAATAGAAACCGAAAACTGTCACAATGGAAACTGTCTGATTTTAGTGTTGCAGAAATGGACAATTTTGAGGCTGAGAACACTTTACTTGTCACGACTTTAGTGCATGATTACCTTCATATACATGTTATAAAAATGTGGTAAAAATTTCGGAGTCATTGGATATAGATAAGGGGGTGAAAAGGGATTGGAAAACTAATTGGACGGTAAGGGAAATCTGAAAACAGATTCTGTCCAATTTTGTGTTTAATATGATTTCAGCCTTTTCATGTACATTAATCATCTCTTGGGCCTAGAAAATAGATTCTAAGGGTACTAGTTTGTCAACAACAATTGGATGACGTTTACGTTCATAAGTTGACTCGAGAAATAGCGAGATTTATGGGATAAGTTTGTAATGCCATCGGTAACTTGAAATGATGATTCCGTCTAAATTATTTTAGTGAGAATGGATGTATTTTGGGATTTTGTCCGTTAAGGTTATTAAATTGAGGATTCTCTTTAATATTAAATGGTAATACAGGTGATTTTCCGACTTCGAGTGAAAAAGGATATTGATCTAATCTCCATAGCGCACACACAAAGGTGAAAGGTAAGTGAAGATTCATTTACAACTACGATGCAAGAACCTAGTATATATGACATAGTAATGTTGAAATATCTACATAACTTTGATAAGAGGCTTATAGCACATCATATGGTGGTTACGATCATTGAGTATGAGGTTGCGTAACCTATTGACATCGATTTCCATTAAATATGTCATTTATGAGTATTTTCATATGCATGCACGACATGTGACATGGTTGAAAATCCTGCATGCAAAACATGATTTCAAAGTGAGTTTCATTATAAATGTTTTATTGACCACTACTAGGGCACCGAGGCATGTCAGGCATGCTTATGTGATATGTTTAGCATTGCGGGTGTTACTTCTGGGGTGATTGCAAAGGTAAACAGGGGATGGGTCTTTGGTGATCACGGGAGGATGGACCACTCGACTGTGCCCTTGTGATATTATGATTATTGGCGCTGTCGGGTGGGAGACTTCTTGGGTGATCATAGGGGTAGTCAGGGGATGGGCCTCTAGTGGTCACGAGAGGATGGTCCACTCGTCAGCGTCGATTTCATATTGGCCATTTGATTATTGATATTATGCAGAGCTCTATCCGGTGCATAGTAGGTGGATCAAGGGCCTAATGAAATGAAAGATTTCAAGTGAAATGATTTCTAGTCGATTTTGACGAATATTGAAATGTGATACTTTTTATCGTGATATTTAAAGTAAATGGCATGGTGTCATATGTCGTTATTACTCATGTTCAGGACATACATGATTTTGCTTACTAAGCATTG